AAAAAGGGAAAAAGGGTTAAAAAAAAAATTTTCAGGAAAAAAAAAAAAAAAAAAAGGGGAAAAAAAAGCCAGAAGAGTTATATGAAAAATACAAGAAATCTAGTGCATTAAATACACAAATTGAGTACACCAAGCTGCATCAGGCTGGAATCGAATACAAATTTGCTCGTAGTTTTCTCCACTTCGTCCTTTCATTTATTTCCTTAAATCTGTCTTCCTCCCACCAAAGGACTAACTCTGTAGCATGTCCCTGCCTCTGCATCTCTACGAAAACTGATGGAGGACTGAGGCCAAACAAGAACCCCATGGAGAGCCAAAGGGTTTGCTGGTGGGTTGGGAGCACAGCAACCTACACCCGCTCTTCAGAATGCTGAATTTGTTGGCTTTTAGCTGGTAAAAAAAGCTATTTACTCTTGTGCAACTACACTGCAAAGAGTTTTACTGTAATATTTCCTGTTAATGATGAGGGGCTTTACTAATGAATCTGGAGACTGTCAATTTGTGGGATATTTCATCACCCAGTCAAAAGTAATTTTTTAAAAAAAGTCTTTCTGTAATTGTCCATAAAATACATGCAGAGTTTTTCCAGTAAGAAACAAAGTAAGATAATCCAATTTACTTCAGCAAAAAATACTAAGGAGACATAACACATTTTAATATTCAGCTTATAAGCCTGCTCGAGCTTTCCAAAATGCATTTAAGTACACAGCAGCAATCAAATCCACAAAACTATTCCAAAATTATCTTCCAGTATTTAGTACTGGAGAATGAAAAAGTTTGCTTTTTTGAGGTTTTTGCATAAAATGTTTTAAAAGTATTTTAGAAATAATACTAATTTAAATCTAAAATAAAATCTGGTACCATCTAATTTTGGCATTTTGTGAAGAGGATCATGTTAATGGGAGTGTTTGCAGAGCAAATGTTTGTATTATATCCCACTTCTAAAACTGCTTTGTACCACCTTCTTTTTTGAATGTTGAGGAAAAGGTGTTTTTTTTTTTTTTTTAGGAAAAAAATTACATGGAATTTATAGCTTTGAATTTCAGTTGAATGCATACTGCAAATATTGGTGCACAATGTAGTACCTCTGAACACAGCAAAGGATGTCACTGCACTGACACGGTCGTACCTTCCCAGACCAGATTGCAATGCTGTAGTGAATATTAAGTGCAACTTTAAACAGTAATCCTAGTGCTGGCTGAGTAGGAATTGTATAAAGACTCCCATTCCTGCCTTCTCTACTCTGCAGTGTATCTATAATTCATACTTTCAAATAAATACATCTATTTGTACTTCTTTAAACCCAAGGCCAACTCTCATACGCTGTAGTTAAATTATGCTTTATCTGTACTTTTCCAGATGCTCACAATCGCTCTGTTATTATTTTAAAAAGCAAGGGTATGATGCAAAAAAGAGGATTACTTTTAAAATTAATTTTCTCCAAATAATACCTCTGCTGTCATTACCATAAAAATCTAGATGAGGACCTCTGCATTCAGTGCTGTCGAAATACAACGAAGGTACCACACATTGTAAGAAATTTTACTTTTAAAATGAAGAAATCCTACTGTCGTTACTCCTTTAAATAATTTCAAGGAACAGCTGGCAAGCAAAACTTAAAATCTCACTAAGATTTTCAATACAGGATTTTTTCAAGGCACAGTGAAGGCAGACTCAAGTGTAGGACTTCTCCACTTATTCCAAGAATTCAAAAAGAAGATCCTGTAGCTGTGATGGAGAATAACAGTTACTATTTTCAGAAATATAATAAGCTTTAGGTATTCCCTTTGGGGTGTCTTTTTTTTTAATGTGGAAAAAACATTTACTTATATGGCTTACGACTTAGGGTAAATCTTCCACAGCTTAGGGGAGTCCAACTTATGATTTGTTTATGATATACAAGTTATATTTTTTGTGGTTAAAGGGCTGAGAAGAAAAAAGAAAAAGAGAAGTGATTCATAGGAAACCAAATCTGGATGTGCCTTCTTACAAAGGCTTAGTATAAAGCAAAATTTTCAAGAGCATAACTCTAGCTTTAAATAGTAAAATACAGAACAATTCATTGTGGCTCCTGATTCTTGTGCAGATTACCTATAAAAAGGTCATGTAACTGAAATACAAGTCATTTAAAAGAACAGTTTTTTTGGCATATGTCTAGGTTCAAGCAAGTTATCCAGACAACAGGTAAAGACAATAGAATATTGTCAGGAGAAGACATAATATTCTTCTGGATTACCAGTTAACTAATGTACTTAAGACTTCACACAGGAGAATTGATCATCACCAAGTATGATAAGGTAATTGTGTTACATGCAATCAAAACATGAATACTGAAAAGAACAGGGAAACAAAGTCTTTCTTTTCCATCAACTTCAGTTAACACGTTTTCTTTTTCCCTTGAAACAGTATAAAGCAATTTGCAAAACCAATTTTAAAGATGTTATTGGATGAAGTGCCACCTAGTAGTAGCTAAACAAACTATAAGTGGCTACTACCCAGCTCTCATTTTCCCTGCTTTTTCTTATCTTTTCAAGTTCATCTGATCTCCTGAAATTTGATGGCAGGAAAAAATAAACACTAGGGCACCCACTGGGACAGGGGCAGGAGATGCTGGTTAATCATTTGATACAATCACTTAGTTTAAGTCACACTCTTAAGAAATGCAGTTTGTAAATAGGATAACAATAGTTGGGTAACAGCCATTCCATTTCATTATTTAGCTTTCATTCAAAGAAGGAATTAGGTGTTGTTCAAGAAATTTCAGATAAAGCAAGCTTTGCGTCTTATTTTTATTAAGAATGTCACCATTTTGTATACATTCACAGAATTTAACTGTCCACTAAATTCAACAGGCTAGTACTAACTGTGGTAAAGCATACATAATATCTTGAACTTTATCATAGATAAATTAAAGAACTGAGGCCAGCTACAAGTATGCACAGATGACCTCAACTAACAATATCAAATAGGGAAATGATACACACTTACTATTAACTTAGAATTGGGGGGGAAACATTAAGAAATAAGCAACCTGAAAGATTCAGCTTTTGGAACTCCAACTGCTGAACACTGAATTGTGCCCATCAGACTTGAAGTAACAGAGTAAATTGGCAATTTCACTGCATGGCAATGTGACAGAACAAAAACACATGAAAGGAGGAAGAAGCCTGAGGCTATGGATGGAACAGATTTCTACCTATTCATGGAAGTAATAAGAACCACACTACTACTACTACATTTACAACGATTTCCAGTTCAACCATGTACCTGCCAACACTAAAAACAAAGCCAAACTTTTGGAAATTCTGATATGTTTTCATGAAAGGGCATTTGGCTTTGCTTTCCAACCTTCTGATACCATCTTTTGGAGTGCAATATGGGTATTTCTATATTGGTTCTACAAAACAGCTTTTATGCTTTGTCTAACAAGGGCTTCTCTACATTTTCAATAATTGGAACAAAATTCAACAGCTAAATTTCCAATCTCTGTCTTGTGTATGTATCCTTATGATCACATTCCATTGTATACAGACAACATTGTGACAGGATTGTCAGAACCCTTTTTTCCCCCACAAACAATTACAGATATTTTATGGAATCTTTTTCCATTAAGGATTTACTTCTCAGGATATGGTGAAATTGCTATATAAATGTCTTCAACAATTATTTTTGAAGAAACTTTACATCATTGGCTCCCCAAAATCAGTTACAAAATAGCCTCCATGCAACAAAAACATACACAGATTCTGCTACAAAGAATTTGTGAGTAAAGGCACACTGCACTAAAATAATTTAAAAGCAAGTAAACCCTTTAAAATTTAGTATGAAACTCAAAACTTCTTTTTTTATTGAAAGAATGCCTTTTTTATTACAGAAATATTAATACAAAAACAACAAGGACAGCATGAAGGTACTAAAGAGACAGAAGCCAGTGAACAGTAGGTTTGCAGTTAAAACAAAAACCCAATAGATTGCTGCAAGCAGAGCAGAAAGTGGTTTGCTCAGAGACAATGAACTTAACTTACAGAGCTGAAGTCTGCAAACCCCAAGGAAGAGTCTTTAGAAGTTTTACTTGAAGAGGAGGGAGCAAATGGATCTTTTCCACTAAATGGGTCCCCAAACCCCTTTTTACTCTGAAACGGGTCACTGCTGTCAGCCCCAAATGGCTGGAATGGATCATGGGGCTTGGAAAAATCTGAAGACCCAAGGTGGCTTACAGGAGTACTTTTACCTGGAAAGTTTAGGAGAAAAACAAAAGGAGAAAAAGAGAAGTTACTTACCACGGACAATGTAAACCCCTTAAATAGGAAACTGTGCTGATGCATTTTAGCATCATCCATCCCTCTTGGGATAGTTTAAAATTTAATATGACAGCACTCATCATTCAATGCAAACCATCTCAAACAGATATATTCCCTACATGAATTTATTATGTTATACACATTACAGTATTAATACCATCAAGATTTTGTAAGATAAACCTCAGTATAATGACATCTGGTTGGAAGAATTTGACAGGTATGATTTTACTTCATATTACTGCATTAGAGACAACTCAGTTTGGGATTGTATGAAATTGAAAATACTTAGTAATATACTTAGTAATGTATCACTAAGATAAGTAGTTAATCATGTTAAACAGAACTGAATAGCAACACGTCCGTGTGTATACTAGGCACATATTCTATTTTTTCCTGGGATTTGTTTGTCCTTCTGCTACAACACTACATAAACGCTATGGAAAAGAGATTGATGAAGAAGCCACTTTGTTTTGGGAACTTTTTGTGCAACCCAGCTTTTGCAGGCGACTGTTTATTCTTACACTTCACAGGTGCAACTCCACAATGGAGCTGAAAATCCAAATACTGTGTATTAGCATGCCCAAGACATAGCCTGGTATCTGTTAAGACGGCATTTTCTGACAGAGGTAGATGCTCGTGAACATTATAAGCTGCAAAGATCAAACAGCATTTGCACAAATCTGCAGAAATACTCATTTGTCCAAGGAGAAGTTCCAAGTTTACGCTCTAAGGAAGCCAACCAGCAGCCTGCCGGCACTTACCGCTCCGCTCGGGCTCGCCTCCCCTAGCCCGAGGCCGGTGAGACGCCCGTCCGGGCCGTGTGGCGCTTCCTGGGGCCAGCGGCACCCGCCTGCCCGGGGGAGCCGGCGCACGGAGGAGCCCTCCAGCCTCTCGGCTCGTCAGCGCCAGCACCAGCCCTTCAGTGCGACTCCACTGAGAGGGCACGGCTGAGATTTTATGCTTGCCATATAAATCCATTACAAACGAAAGCAACAGCTTGTCATTTCTCACTTTTTCACTATATGATCTCTCTTAGCTTCCAGACCCTTATATAAACCTACAGCTCAGGCAGATGCGAACTACTAATACCTACAAAAATGGGAGAAAAGAGCAAGAGATACAGGTTTCTCTTTCAACCTCAGGTAGGACTTGTCAATCGCTGATAGAAAACGTAGGATATTATATGCAGATACTCATCCTATGGAGTTGCACACTCTATGCTACACAGGGGAAGTTGTTCTTGCCCTTAAACTCAGGCCTCCAGTGGAATATGGTGAGCGTGTTTAGGCCCTATGTTTCAGGACAGAGGTGAAGCAGGTTAAGCAAGAACAAGCGAGCAGGAGCTGAGAACCCAACACACATGGAGGAGGAAATACAATTATGCTCATTTATTCTTGAGAATACTGATGGGAGACATCACCACAATCTTGCAGGGAAATCTTCCATACCCACGAGGAGGAAGACCAGGGTGTCCACGGGTAATGGACTTGGACTTTACTAAAATGGCTTTTAAACTCAAGAATATTCAAAACTGCCTAGGGAATCCATTGGATTGCATTGTGATTTCCAAGAACAGGTTAGACGAATCATTTCAAGAAATCATACAGGTTGAGCCACCTCAAACCTGGAAGATTGATCTCTTACAGGTCGCTTCAGGGTTGTTTTCCATGGTTCAGTGCGTGTGCCCCATCCTGTCCATGCAACGCCATACGGACACACGGATGCCCGTATTAGAAATTGCATGGGGGATTGCTAAAAACGGGCAGGTCAGACCATTGATTTGTCCTTCATGCAAGGAAATGACAAAACACACAGGAAATAGCAGCATTTGCTCCCCCAGAAGTACTGACCCTCCTTCATGCCCAGGCAGTTTCGAACTGCCTTTGCTATCACCGAAGAGGCCGCACTTGCTCTCTCGAATCCGACTGCTGCGTTTACCTCCCTCGCATCACCGCAGCCTGCAGATCTTCAGTCACACCTATGCGACAGTAAGGAACCACGCAAACCTGGCCAATAACTCAGCAATTCTTACACGATTCTCCAGATAAAAGAGCAAATGACAGTGACTAATCACTTTCTCTGAAAACCTCTTCCCACGGTGCAATGCAATTTTCAGCAACTTTAAATTGAGTCACAAAAAAGTAGCTGCATTTCTAATTGAAAGTCAAGGCAGAGTAAGAGCCCTCTACATTTTTTCCTTCTACTGCCAGATATTAGCAAGCAAATTCTCTGCTATATTTCACCTGCGTTGTCCCAAAGCAAATCTGACGGAGAGAAAAAAAATGTTCCGTTTTATGTTGCCTTTTTCTTAGGTTAAAATTTCGGTTGCTGAAACCACCATGTGGAATTGGTGACTGTTAACAAGAACACAGGTTTTGAAACGTATTTGCTCAGCAAAACTGTTTTTTCTAGGTGGCCCGTTTAATGTTTTCGCATGAAGCCCCTAGCGGTTTACGGAGCTCACACAACGAGCACTGGGGTTTCTTCTGCTCCATCTTCAGAAGAAATCTCAAAAGATGTGCTTTAGCATGCAAACCCTTAATTAAAAGTGGCATTCAGAACATGAAATGGAAGATTTCGGCATTAATTTGGTTATTCTGAAGAAACACTGAAAGAGGGCAACCTTTACAACAGCATGGGTTATTTTTTGCAAAGCAATTTGAAGGGCAGCACCCACAAGAGCTAAGTCAACCCTAGAACTGACAGAGGGAGTCCCAGCAAGTGCTTTTTATAACCCTTTGTACATTAGTTATAGCTTGTCTCTGCAAACATGGTTTTGAAACCTGGCAGAAGTGTGCACAGATTAGCTAGATATTCAAATTTACTAATTTATTGGCCACAAATTAGTAATAGCACCAGAATTCTTTTCCTTGCAATATGTCCTTGCTGACTTATACGAACTTGCATTCCCCAACAAATTAAGTGTACGTTGAACGTTTTTATATTTCCACGTATTCAAGGATGTGGGTACAGTATTTTTATAATGTAAGGCGAAAATCCCCATACCACATTAAAAAAGTCACCAACAAAACTGAACAATAATACCGGTAACATTGTAATATTGCAAAAAAAATGCTAGTAGTAATGACTAAGATCCAATTAATCTTTTATTCACTGGAGGTTAAAAGTGTTATGTTTTTAATTATACAGCTCATCATTTTTTAGGCACAGTAGTAAGAAAGTGCAGGTGAACAGTTGTAACCCTTACTTATTTCATTTTATCTGCTAATAGTTTCAGGGAAAAAAAAATTCAGAAATAAGCAAAACAGGTCCTATTCGAAACCACAGCAGTTTCAGCAGTTACCCAAGTGGTGCACCCAAACCACACCGAGGACTCACTTCAGCAAAAAGAGATGATGAACAAAATGGTTTACCACAGCAAATGCTGTTAACTTGTAGTGAACTCCACCCATATGAAGGGTTTATCTAATTTCATACCCCACAGCAAACTTTAGGGTTCAAATCTAGAGCTCTTTCTGGCAGGCTGCAATTAGAGAAATTGTCTTACTGAGTTATAATATATTGACAGTGAAAAATAAAGTGAAACACCGATAGTTTTTACTAGATTCCACGTTTTAAGGATGATCCTAACTTTCTGCTCAGAAGAATATCTTTCTGCATTATGAGAAACAGCATGCTTCCAGGTATTTAAAGACTGTACCATAATGATGCATGCTCAGAAAACGGGTAGAGTTAAGACGACAACTTTAAACTTTCACTGAACAAGCAGTTCTTCCTAAAGTAAAAAAAAAGAAACCCAAAAGCTTACAAGGTCAGTCTCTCACTGCTCATAAGTAGTGGTATCCTGAGTGAATTCCATACCTGGGATTATATCTGAAGATTTAATACTAGGATTCCTACCTCTCCCATGTCGTATCTGCTAGAAGTGTTAGCTCTAGCAAACTTTGGGGACTGTGCAGTATGTGAGATGCCTCCCAGTAAATCTCTGTCTTGGCACTCTACCAGATTTATGCATCATTCCTAAGCTCCTCAGCATGTTTTTTACTATGATGTTAAATTACCCAGCTTTTCCACAGATGCAGAATAAGACTGTGAACTTTAAGAGCTTACAGAAAAAAAAAATCACCAGTTTTCAAAGAGTGTTTGAAAGCTAGTTAAACTAAAAACAATCTTCAGCACTCAAAAGGCATGTCCTCAATTTTTCCTACTCAAAAAGAACTAAAATCTGCTTGTGCTTAATATTTGCACTCTCACCTCTAGCTAGCTGTTATGTCTGAAAACTTTAGCTTAAGAGAAGGGCTCTGCAAACTTCTGAAAACAGGAGGTTGGACTAGAGATCGTTGCCTTCAGATCAACAACCTGTTCTGAAACAGATTCTCAACAGCCTGTTTCATCAATTAGTACTGAAATATCTTTGGTGTGAGAGATGAGCACAAACAACAGCATCAAAGCGTGAATGGAATTTTTAGTTTGTGGCTGGGGCAGGTGCTCCACCTATGAGTCATTTATCCTACACAACAAGGGATGCCTGTACTCTAATGCAACTGCCAGGTCTTCTAGATGTCATGAGCAAAAAAAAAAAAAAAAAAAAAAACCCCCAAAAAAAAAAAAACACCCAAAAAACAATAAAACCAGAATGTTTCCCTGGGGATGAGGAGAAAAATCAAGGTAAGCAGGCAGTATGTTGCTCGTGCACAGCCTTGGGCACCAGAGCAGCTCAAAGGAAGCTAATGCAGCCACGTAGAAGCACTTCTGTGAAGAAATGAGGCATAATGGTAACAGCCTATTCTACATTCTCCCCGAGACCACCAAAATATCGATCCATGAGACTTGAATATGCACAGACAAATAAACTGCAAGATAATTAATTTTCTTTTCTTTAGTTAAACTGCCTGCTTCATATAATCCTTTCAGTCATAGCTCCTGATTAAATGTACCTACCATGGCTGCTTTCTTCTTAAAATTATCT